GGCGGGGTGGGCTCCCTTGCATGGCGGGAAGCGTGCAGGTTGGGGCCGTCTTCAAGGGTGAGGGGGCCCATGAGGCATGCCGGGCTGCAACAATCAAGCCGCCAGCCGGCCGGCTGCTGGCAGCCGACAGGCGCCCCACGACGCCAGGTTGGGCGGGCCGCCATGTATGTGCATGCTCACATGCACTGGGGCGCACATGCGCAGGAGTTTTCGCGCCCGCAGAGCCAACATGCCCTCGTGCATGCATGCACACAGCGTCGAAGATTCCTCGCAAACCATGGGACACTGCGCGCATGCGCATGCGCATGCGCATGCACATGCACTTGTTTAACCGCACCATGAGTAGTAGGGCACCAGCAGCGCCGAGTGCACGATAAGGCCGACGCCGTCGTTCACTGCCTGCCACTTAGAGAAAGCCTGGTGGCCGCACTCATGCGCGACAACCTGCGCAGGGGAAGAGCCCGAGCAGGGGGGGAGGGCGTCGGGCGAAGTGGCCACTGCACCGCCCATGGCTCTGCCTGCTGTTGCTCAACCTGCTGCGACGGGGCGCCGGGCGAGCGGCGGGCGTGCAGTCCCGCAGGTCGCGTTTGCATGCGCGGCGCGCTGCATCCTTGTCGGGGCTCGGGGCGGGAGGGGTGGGGTGGATGTTGGGTGCCCCCCTCACCCAGAGACCAGTGCAGACGGCGCCCTGCCAGAACCTGCAGCGCATTCCGAGGGCGTAGAGTTGCAGGTGTTAGGAAATCTGAAACGCGGGCTTTGGACCAGCCTTGTTCCCCTGGGCAAAGGGTGGTGTCGCGGCCCGAGTGACGTTCTCGCAACCCACCCCACCCAGCGGCCCCTGGTTGCCAGCGGCGGCCCACCAGTACGCCGGCCACAGGAGACCCCAGGCGAGCCACGTGGGCGCGAGATCGATGAATGTAGAAGCATAGTACAGCACGGCTGCCGCGACCAGGTCTAGGATCAGGTAGGCAGAGCTGCGCAGGACCGACCGCTCGAAGCAGTGAGGGGGGATCGCCCTCCGGAGCTGTCCCACTGTAAAGGGTGGGGGAGCAGAGGGCGCCCTAGAAGCAGGGAAGACCGTCGTCTCCGATGCAGGAGGGATGCACATGCTGGGCGAGCGACTAGGGTGATCTTAGTAGGGTAACGCCCTAGCGCTCGTGAGGGTCTTGGCGCCCCAAGAGAGGGGTATTATAAAAGGTGGTTGACGACGCGCCGCCTGCACGTTTGGAGAGGACAACGACAGGGGCAGTCCTGCCAGCTTCGTTTTCAATCACCAAAGGCTTCGTCTTGGCGCGGCCAAGCCCCTTATTACTGTGAGGCTGGGCGCAAATGGGTGATTTGATCACAATAATAAACATTGGCAGCGCAATCTAGCTCAGCATCCCACCCATTGCGCAGGGGCTGGCTGCGGGGCCCCGCGCGATGTCGCGTCCGACTCGCCTGCATTCGGTTGTGGCGACCAACTGAACACAGCGCTCCATGAATGTCCACCCCTTGGCCTGGTAGCTTGCAACGTTTAAAAATTGGCTGTCTGCTGCTATCACTTTGCGGCCGTGCTTGAGCTGATACATGTTGGCCAGAGTGGGAATGCAGAACAGGCAGGATTTTACACCCACATGCGTGTGCGCACGAGAAAGTCAGGAGTCACTGGCACACATGCAGGATGTTAAAATTTGCCGTGCAAACGGGGATGTACTTGCCTCACTTCCTACCGGTGTGCATACTGTATGCCGGTATGAACTCTGACAAACACTGCCAGAATCGCAACCCCCATCCTTCACAATGACCACTATCGGCCGCCTTGTGTGTGCTTCAGAACCAGCTGTACCATGCTGCCTTCTGTCCATACTTGTGTCAGCACAAATCCCTGTGCACAAAGCCCTAGGAGGGTTTTCACTGCACCCTGATCACGTTGGAAAACGCAGCGCCCAGCCACGCAGCTCGCATGCGTTCCGCCCCCAACCCCGCGAGTCGCCCCATTCCCCATCCAGTCCCAGCACAAGGCCATCCTGCCTAATCCTCCACACCGCCGTGCGCATGCGCGGCCCCATCGCGGCTCTCACCGTCGTGCCCGTCAGCGCACGCATCCACCACCACTGCGCCGTCCTCCGCCAGCACCTCCTCCTCATCCCCCTCCTCCTCCCTAACACCTGTGCTGCCCTCCACGCCTGCGGCCCCCCCGAGTCCCTCGCCGCCATCCACCACTGCGGCAGGGATGGCAGTGCCCATGATATGCAGAGACGCCTTGCTGGCCTCATCCAGATGCAGCTCGTCATCGCCGTCCTCGCTGTCACTGCTGCTGCTGCTGTGGTGGCTGCTGCCGCTCTTGTGGCTGCCGCTCTTGTGGCTGCCGCTCTTGTGGCTGCCGCTCTTGTGGCCGTCGCTCTTGTGGCCGCTGCACTTCCGACCGCCGCCGGTGGAGGACGCCGCGGCGCTGGGCAGGCGCTCCATTGCGGTGGCGGACACCTCGCTGTTGCAGGCATCGGGCACGCCCGTCAGGTAGGAGCGCTCCGACGCTGCAGGGGACACGTGGATGAGCCGGTGGGTTTAATAATGGGTGTGACCAACAGGCCTGTCGGATTGACCCGTCAGCATCATGCGGTTGTTCCAGTTCGCTCATGCAAGCAAGCACCTCGTGGCAACATACCAAGCGCATTACTTGAAAGGTCATCGAAGCCATGTCTTGCGGCCGCCCATGCAAAGCTGCTCACCAGAGGAGAGCTGCGATCTCGCGCTATGGCCGATGGTCGGCGCTGCTCGGGATGCGGCAACGCTCTCTGCATCCCCGTGGTCATGGGCGCGGTTCGCGCTCTCCGTGGTGCGCCCCCGCCTGCCCGCGGCGGCCACGCCGCCGGCCTGCGGGCTCGCCGACGGGCTGAGCTGCGGCCCGCCGCTGACCTCGTCCGGGGGCTGGTCGGCCGAGCTGTCTGCCTCCAAGATCGGGGCGAGCGCCTCTGCGGGGTGTGTCTCGTGGAGGCCATGTGCGTCGCCTCCGGCTGGCTCCAGCGGTGCTGGGCAGGGTGGCGAGACGATGGTTTCTTCTGGGGATGGAGATGCTGGGGAGTCCAGGGGATGGGCTTTTAGCAGCCAGTCTGCCTGTGGGGGTAGGGAAGGGGCGGTGCACAAAAACATGCAGGCCAGGTTGGGAGTGGAAGTGTGGAGCGCAAGCAAGGGAAGGTGCCTGCCCTGGGTTCCAGCAAGCACATTGTATCCAGCACACTCCCCGCTCCCTGCACCTTGCCGTGACGCATCAAACCACCAGCCTCCAAGGATGGTCGCCAGCCCCAGATTCCAGCCAGGCCGCGTCCCTAACTGCATGCACACGGCTCATAAGCATCATGCGCTCACCGGCGTGGCCGGCACGCTGCCGCCAGCGGCGCTCTTGACGCTCTGCTCCCCTTCGGCACCATGCGGGTCCAAGAAAGCAGCCACCGGTGCGATGGAGACGGTCTTGTGGGCAGGGCGCAGCCGCTGAGGGTGCGTGCCGTCGTCATCCTCGCCTGTGGTGCGCTCCTTCCCGGGGCCGTCGCTTGTGGGGGCGGCGGCGGTGACGGCAGCTGCTGGCACAGTGACCTGCCCCGGGCCCTGTCATTGTTAAGAGCAAGACGCGTGGCAGCAGTTGGCCCATGGTTGGGGCATGTACTGTACCGGAGCACAGCAAAACGAACACTGCTACATTGCGCCGCACACGTCAGAATGTCCAGAAACGGATGGCGACCGCCAAGCACAGTCGTTGGACAGTAGGAAAAGGCTTCACAACGTATAATTGAAGGGCGAGCAGGGCCTCCAGCGCACAGACTGCACCGGTGTGCTCGTCAACTGCATCCGGCAAACCCACACCTGAGCAAAGCTGAACTCCTGATCGTGGGGAACGCTTGAAGGCGCCGAACGGTCCGGCTGGCAGCTGCAAGACTGACCCATAGCACCCAGGCAGGGCTAGGAACTCAAGAGCGATCTGGTGGATTGCTGTTGTGGTGATGACCTGTACTCAAAGAGGTTCCATGATCACGTATGATATCAGAATCTAAAGCCGCGTGGTTCGCTGGCAGAAATGTTGTACGGTACGGTACGGTAGGTGCTGGTGGGGCACACCTATTTTGGTGATGTCCTTGCAGCCCGAGCAGGTTCAACCCGGTTGACCGCGTTGCCACCGATCGGACCAATTTTCTGCTGTTGCAACCGCGCAGATCACCACTTTCGATCTGGTGTTTTCGCAAAACGTTGACCGTGACCCTTTGAGCTTTATTGCTGTTGTCTTGTCCAGCTGAGGATTGCCGCTTGCTTCCAGATTATCATAGTAGCGGCCCGCTGCCACCTTGCCGGCCGGCCGCCAGTGCTTGCCACCCCCAGCAGTGCGCCACAAGCGGGAATGGTGGAGCCGCCGCGCGACCCGCGCGCGCGGGTTGCCGAGTACCTCAAGGACCACCAAATCAACGAGGTGGTACAGGTGCGCCGCAGCGAGGCGCTCGGGCTCCCCGCCGCACGTGTCATGGTGTTGTGCATGACACAACACGCAGCAGTACAGCAAGCGTCATCGGGCAATCGTTTGCGGGGCTGCGTCCTCCGTCCTCCAGCCTCCCGTAGCTCCCTCCCTCCATACAGCTTTGCAAATGCGCACGGCGCCTGCCACCACCCGTAGGGCCTAATCGCGGAGCTCTTGTTTGTCAAGCCGCCAGACCCCAAAAAGTTCCTTATAGAGCAACTCGAGCGCTCCAAGGCCGCCGGCTCAAGGCCGCTGCTGGACGCTGCCGACCTGCGCGCCATGTATGACATGTTTGACGTCACCGGCTCCGGCGCCGTCACCGTCGCGCAGGCCAACGCGGCCCTGGCGACGGCGCTCGGCGGCGCGCGCGCCGCGGACGCGGCGGCCGCGGCCGCAGGCGCCAAGCCGGGCGGCAAGGGCGGCGCTGGGGGCGGCGCTGCGGGCGGAGGCAGCGGCGGCGGCGTGGCCGGGAACCCGCTGGGGTTGAAGGACGCGGCGGCGCGGCGGCTAAGCAAAGAGGAATTTGTGCGATGCGTGGGCGACGTGCTGATCCGTGCGACGCCCAACTGCCAGCTGACAAAGCTTGGCGACGCTGACGCCGACGAAGAAGGGGGCCAGGGCAGCTGATGAGAGCAGGGATGCTGCTCTCGGAGCTGTGTTTATGTACCTTCCCATGCAGCCGGTTGGCAGCAGTGTGCTGGCTGCCCCTCAACGCGCATTGGAGGCTGTAGCCTTGTTGTGTTACTGTTTTTGATTTGAATCGTTGGGTTTGGAAAGCGATGGGCCAAATGATGGCACGAGGAATAAGCTGTGCTTAAATCATTTCATCGAGAAATGCTGGCATCGGGCAGCTTGGGGTCAGGCGACTGCAAGCCTGCAGTGCACTGGTTTTCAAGGCACCGCGCCAGGCCCGCCCGCCGCCAGCAGCCGGGGCGGCCGCGCCCCGTCACTCGCCCTCCACGTCGATGAGCGTGAACAGCGGCAGGTCCCCCAGCTTTTGCCGCCCCTTCAGGTCTGGCAGCTCAATGACGGCGGCCGCCTCCACCACCACGCCGCCCACCTTGCCTGCAGTGGTGGTTTTCGACGCGGCGCGTGCGTGATGGCAATGTGCGGGGAGGTGCGGGGGAGGGAGTGCATGTGGGCTCGCAGTTCGTGCATGCAAGCGCGAATGGGGTGCGCGGCAGGGTGGCGCCACTCCCGCAAGGCCAGAGGAAGAAACAAGCGGTGGCAGCGCGCCGTCTGGCAGCGCGGTCAGCAGCCCGCGCCCGGCACGGCGGCGCTCACGGACGAGGTTGGCGCCTGCTAGGAGAGTGCCGCCGGTGGCCACCAGGTCGTCAATCTGTAAGAGGAAGCGCGATTGCATGTTGTGTGCAAGGGGCCAAGTCGAGCACCCTGAAAGCGCCGGTCTGCCATTCAGACGCGGCTTGCTGGTGCAGCGCGGCGCAAAGTGACAGCCAGGTAGCAGAATCTGCCGCCGGTAAGACCCAGCTGCGGATCTCGGCACAGGTTTCAGCCACAATTTGACGCCTCTGGGCGGCTGGGACCCGGCTGCCTTGTGGGCATGCTCGTCCTGACACCGCCTCTCATGCGACGCGCAAGGGCGCGCGCCCGCGCCCGCTGCGGCACCCACCAGCAGCACGCGCTGGCCAGGCTTGATCGCGCCCGTATGGATCTCTATCTTGTCTGTGCTGTACTCTGTGATGTACTCCTCACCCACAGTCTCCCCTGCATCAGTTGCGGTCGTTGGCTTGTCGACCCCAATTGCAACCAACGAGGCTTATCAGGCACGACCACAGTACGGCTGCAGTCACACTCGGCGAGCCGGCAAGCCTGCCCATCCACACGGCATGCCGCACACGCTGCTGGCTGCATTGGGGCCCCGGCGCAAAACGTGACCAACACGACAGGAGGCTCTCACCTGGCAGCTTCCCGGGCTTCCTCAGCATCACAAACGGCACCCCCAGCGCCAGCGCCACCGGAGGCCCGAATATGAAGCCCCGCGCCTCAAAGCCTGCGGGTCCAGGCGCCAGGCGGCCGTCGGCAGAGGGCGCCTGAGCGATCCTCGCGGCTGCGCGGCGGCGCCTGGGTGCCCCGACCGACGCCTCGTCGCCGCCCCCGACAAGCGAGCGGCAATTGCTGGTCCCACGCACCCCTCGCCTCGCCCGACCTCCCGTCCACCCGCCCAGGCGACCTTGATCTTGCGCCAGGGGCCATGCCAGACCGAGTGAGGAGCATCCTAAAAGCGAACACCCACCACCCAGGCTTCCGCAGCAACCCACAGCGACCCACCTGCGATGACCTGAATGTCCTTGGGCCTGTACTGCTCCACAAAGAGATCAATCGACGCCTGGAATGCCGCCGGGTCCAGCAGCAGCGTGCTGACGTCCTGGAACATGATCCCCTTCTTAGGGAAGTCAGGGATGACGCGGATCGCCGCCGCGATCACCGCCTTTTTCGCGTCCGTCGCTGTCGCCATCGCTGCCGGTGCGCTGATCTTACCGCCGCGGCTTTCGCAGGTTGGCGGCTGTAGGGTGGATGGAGGGGAATTACAGGCTTGGGTCCTGCGTTGGGGCCAGGGGGCTCCGTGGCAGCGTGCACCAAGGCATCCCAGCCTGAGCCGCCGACTGCAGGCGTGCACATGCCGCCGCCTCGCAGGGCCTGCCGAACGCCGACCTACAGGCCGTGCTGTCAGATACTTATCAGTTCATGGAAATTATCACAGGATCAATGCGCGCGCTCCCACATCGCTGCTTGTTGCTTCCCACCTCTCAGATCAAAGTATCAATCTACTCTGAGCAGAGCCAAGTGGGTCAGACAAGAGGAGTATACTTTGAAAAACAGACCCATTGCACCTGGTCGCTACTTTCAGTCACTTAATGCAAGACAGTAGTACGGTAACCAGGAGCAGCTACAGCGGGAGCGCGAAGCCCCGACAACGGCAAACTCCCTACGCTTGACAATCACGAAGTTAAGCTTCTCTTTCTGGAATTATCAAGGTAGGACGCCGACGCTGCCTCAGGTAGGTGAGCGTGTTTGTGTGTCCGATACCGGGCGCGGGACCCACACTAAGAGGGCGCAAGAGTCAAATGATGTGCCTGGTTGTCATTCCTTGCGTTCAAGCCGGCCTACCGGTGGAGTCGACGGGTGGGCAGCGCGGTTTGTGCTTGGTTCAAGAGGCAAGCTTCGATGCAGCAACAAGTGAACACAGGGATTATACAGACCCATCTTCCGTGAGCCAGCTCCTGGGCTAAAGGCCATTGCGCGCTCAGCATCCGCCCTCGCGCCGCATTCGCTGCCTCGTCGCAGGCCGGCGACCCCCAGCCCGAGGCGCACACCCCCTCACCCCCATCCCGCAAGGCCTGCCGACGGCCCAACGCCATGGCCCGCAGCCGCGCGGCCGCGGCCGCGGCGCTGTGCTGCCTGCTGCTGTGCCTGGTCTGCGCCGAGGCGCAGACGCAGGGGGACGCTCTCGCCAAGCTGCAGTCGGCCCTCAACCCCATCGGCTGGTCCAAGATCGACCCCGGCACCGACGCCTGCCAGAACCCTGGGGCCGTCAGCCCCGGCGTGCTGTGCGAGGGCAGCACCATCACTGAGCTGTGAGCACATGCGGCGCCCGCGCGCGCCCGCCGCGCCGCCCCGGCGCCACGCGGTGTGTCAGTTGGGGCCTTCTGGGCCGCGGGGCGCGCTGTGTCAGGGACGCGCAGCGCCCGCCTGTCGCTGGTGGGACCGTTTGAACGGCAGGGTGCGAGCCGCTGCGGCGGGCGGCGCGCGAGGCGCTTCCTGCAGCGGCCCGGCTACGGGACGGGCTGGGCCCACACTGCGCCGCCGCCGCGCGGCAGCCGCGCCCCGGCGCGCCCCGCGCCTGCACTCGCCCCTCGAGCGGGCGCCCCGGCGCTCGCGGCGCACCCCCGCCACCCCTCCCGCCCCCGCCCGGCTCGCGCCTGCAGCAACCTGAATGGGAAGAACCTCCAGGGTCCCATCCCTGATGACTCCTCCCTCTGGAGCAGCCTGCCGGGCCTCAGGACCATAAACTTTGCCGACAACCAGGGCATCACTGGTTCCGTGCCCGCGTCCCTGGCCGGCGCGCCCAAGCTCGCCTCCGTGTGAGTGCACCGCCGGGCTAGGGGTCGTGCCGCTGGCCCCGGCCGCGGCGCCCTTGCGGGACGGGGGAAGGGAGCGGCTGCTGGGCGGCGGGGCGGCGGGGTGCCCGGGCGGCGGCTGGGCGGCCTGGGAACGTGAACCCGGGTTTGCGGGCGGGCGGGCCTGGCAGGATGGCGGCTGCGCGGGCGCCCGACAGCGCGCGCGAAACCGTGGGGATGCCGGCATGTGCGAGCGACCCCCACTCCCGACATCACCTGTGCTCCATTGGTTTGCTCATGCTGCCGCCCTCGCCCACGCCGCCGCCTGCGCCTTGCCGCCGCGCGCCCACCGCAGCAACCTGGCCAACACTGGCGTCACCGGTGACG